TGTCCCTCAGCTCTTCAGCTCAAGGCTAGCGCTCTACCACTTGAGCCACAGCGCCACTTCCGGCTTTTTTCTTTTTGCTTATGTAGTGCTGAGGAATCGAACCCAGGGCCTCATGGATGCAAGGTAAGCGCTCTACCACTGAGCCACCTTCCCAGCCAGAAATTGAGATTCTTAATTCCAAGTAACCACCAGAAAACCAGAAGTAGTGCTGTAGCTCAGAATGGTAGAGCAGTAGCCTTGAGCTGAAGAGCTGAGGGACAGTGCTCAGGCCCAGGCCCAGAGGTCAGTCCTCATGATAGACAGACAAAACAAAACAAAACAGTTTTAAAGAAGACAGGGTTTGGTGGCTCACACTTGTAATCCTAGCTCCACAGGAGGTTGAGCTATGAGGATTGCTATTTGAAGCCAGCTTGGGCAGGAAAGTCTCTTCTCCAGTTAACCAGCAAAAAAGTTGGAAGTGAAGCTGTAGCTCAAATGGTTGAGTGCTAGTGCCCAGGCCCTGCGTTCAAGCCCCAGAACTAGCAGAAAAGCTAAGCACCTGTGACTCATGCCTGTAATCCTAGCTACTCAAGAGGGCTGAGCTGAGGATCTTGGTTCAAAGCCATTCCAGGCAGGAAAGTCCATGAGACTCCTGTCTCTTAGCTATCAGAAAACTGGAAGTGGAGCTATGACTCAAAGTGGTAAGAGGGCTAGCCTTGAGTAGTAAAAGCTTAGGACAGTGCCCAAGCCCTGAGTTCAAGCCCTGCAACTGACAGGTGCAGGGTGTGGAGGGTGAGGTAGTTGGGAGGATGGGAAAGGGGGAGGGTGAAGAAAACAGGGCTGGATGTTTATCTTCACACCTGTAACCCTAGCTATTCAGGAAGCTGAGATCTGAGGAACATGGTGTAAAGCCATACTGAGCAGGAAAGTTTTTTTTTTTTTTGTTGTTGTGTGGCTTGAACTCTGCCTGGGTCTGGGTGCTGTCCCTCAGCTCTATTTATTTATTTATTTTGTTGGATGTGGGGCTTGAAATCTGGGCCTGGGCACTGTCCCTCAGCTCTTCAGCTCAAGGTGAGCACTTTACCACTTGAGCACAGCACCACTTATGATTTTCTCAGTGGCTTATTGGAGAAAAGAGTCTCATGGACTTTCCTGCCTGGGCAGGCTTTGAACCATGATCTCAGATCTCAGCCTCCTGAGCAGCTAGAATTACAGGCGTGAGCCACTGGAGCCCAGCTTCACTGTTTTTTTTTTTTTTTTTAGCATGAGAATTTACTGTTTTGAATTTTTACCAAGCTAGATTTAAAAATTAACACATATTAACACGTATAAATTAACACATATAAAAGAAGAATCATGGGGGCTGGGAAGGTGCCTTAGTGGTAGAGTGCTTTCCTAGCATGCATGAGGCCCTTGGTTCGATTCCTCAGCACCAGATAAACAGAAAAAGCCAGAAGTGGCATTGTGGCTCAAGTGGTAGAGTGCTGGCCTTGAGCTGAAGAGCTGAGGGACAGCGCCCAGGCCCAGAGTTCAGGCCCCATAACCAGCCCCCCCCCCCGGCAAAAAAAAAAAAGGAGTCATGGTGCCTTTTTTTTCTTTTAATTTCAACAGGGATGAAAACACTGGTGGTGAACATAAGGTTGAAGAATCCACTAATGTGTCCACTACTGCTTCACAGAGAAGAAAACGAGTATCCAGTACTTCTAGTGTAGGGAAACCTAGTGTCAGTGTTCCTTCACAGTCTCATCCCTTATCTACAGTTAATCAAGACACTTCACAGCCAAATCCCATTACAACAAGAGAGAAGCAGCCATGTTCAGACAGATACCGAATATATAAAGCCCAGAAACTGAGGGAAATGTTAAAGGAAGAACTGAGAAAAGAGAAGGTAAGTGAGTAAAATCATAATTTTGATGTTGCCTGTTAGATTTCTGTTTTTTAGGTTAGTATGGCATACTTTGGAAAAAGAAGTAGGCATCTGTATTATTAGGGTAGCAAAGCCAAATCATATCTCTTATGTTATTAAAATTTCTCCTGTTAGTATAATGGTTGAAAAAAGCAATGGACCTCATCAAGTAATTTTTTCTTTCTTTCTTTTTTTTTTTTT